GTTTATGGTGTTATATTTATTGTTGGGCTTTGAACCTAGTCTGGCAGTGTTGTGTTGTGGTGTCACTAATATATTGTACTGCACTTGTTGTTGCTCTTGTTTAATTGTGATATAAGTAGTAACTATTAGGGCAAGCTCAGCAAAAGTGGGATGTCAGGTAAAGTTGGAAAAATAAGCTTTATGCTGCATTGCTGTTTGAGTGATGGGGCTAAATGGATCTGACTTGAGTAAATAACACAGCCCAACCGATTTTCACAACCAGAATTCAAACTCATAACTGCAATGGTAGGGCAAAACTATGGATAGCTGGTAGTCAACATGAGTCACATTTAACTATATTACTTTAATATATGCTAAGCTGGTGAGTTTGAAAAAAACACTATGGTTAAAATAACAAAACCATGTCAAATATTTCAAAACCCAACTGACAATCGTATCGATCAAGAAAGCACTGTTAGCTAAACAAGCAGAGTATAAATTTACAATTCAAAATATAAATCTAAAATCAATATCGAATCAGGCATAACATTTTCACATCATTTGGGCCGGATTACTATCACAAGGATGCAAGTCATTTGTCATTTGTTTTCATTGGCCTGGCATCTTTGTTTTGCCGTAATTTGAAAGCCTGGAGCATCTACTAAGAAGAGTCCCACTTTTGCTTAGTACACCCTACTGCCATCCAGTAAACACTGTCTTTGGACACTGAAGGCCCTGAAGGAACATTATACTGTTCCACTGCAGACCCGCAGTGAGGATGACTAAGTTCTCGAGTCATCATCTTGAGATTGAAACAGCACATGCCATCATAGCCTGTTCTCCTGTTGGAGGTGTTGCTGTAGTAGTGAGTATCGTCTCTTTCCCACAGCCACCGACCTGCCGTGCGTGTTTGTTGAACTGTTTGTAGAGGAAGGCTCGCGCACACTGGAAAAAAAACAAGGCACTACACGTGCCGCTGGGGCCTTTGAACATGACACCGGCTGACACAGCTTCGGTTACGCTGCGGTGATTGGAAACATCTGGTGGCAGAGAGTGGAGGAGTTCAGCACGGAGTTTATGAAGTTCACCGTGTGCAGCTTTAACAGGACACAGCCTGGACGCTGCCGTTTACACGCAGCGTATCTACGAGATGTATCATGTCCGGCATGTCCCTAACCATATGGAGCACGAGATCTTCCGGCGGTTGCATCTACTGATAGTAAATCAAAACTCTGTGTGCATCAAAACCAGCATGTTATGCATGCATGTAGGAAATACTTTGTTTCCTAGGCCTCTGCCTTAGGACATGAGTGATATAATTAGCACACATGTTGTTTTGATAGCTATCATATTAAGTTCTTTGTCCAGGAACACTTGCTGTGCTCCAAAAATACACTCTGCGATATATCTTGATTTATTGCAGAGCAGAAAAGCAGCAGAGGAAACGGTCTTTGGACTGCAGTCTCTGGCCCCAGGTTTGATGATGATGGGACAATAAATGCCAATGGCTGGGTAGAGACACTGTTCCTAAGCTATGGGCCGTGGCTCCGTATGGCTGTATAAAACATGTGTGCAGTGTCTAATGAGAAAGCCAGACTTTGGGCGACGGCCCATTGGCACCCAGTCTCCACTGGCTAGCATCTATGCTAAGTATTCTGGAAAGCAGATGCTCCAAAATCGCAAGGCTTGATCGCAAGAATGCTTCAGTAGATACCTGTGAGGATGGAGCTATGTACCATATAGCAAAGACCATGGGACTGTTTCATCCTCAAAGTCTCAGTTTGGAGCCAAAAGGATGACATCAAGAGTGATGTAAAGTTGGGACGGTCGTTTATGTCTGCAGTGACCAAAATCCTGTCAGTCCGTTGCTCGACCAGGGCCCAGGCAAGAGTCAAGAAATTAATTGAAATCTAATAGGCTGATGTGTCTGATGACCTAATCCCTGGAATGCCTTGAAAGTCGGTCAGTGTTCAACCAGACCCAGCTCTGTCTGAGAGCCGAACATCAATTCTTTGCCTGTTTTCTTTGTAAACTCTATAAATTTCGCTCAGTCTGGTAACTAATAAAAAAATGGCTCAAGCATTAAACTCCTTTCCTCGACTGGGCTCTGTCCAGAACCAACTATGCTAGGGACAGTCTCCTCGTAGAGTTAACTTTGATTTAGTGCTGCAATCTGCTTGCCATTCTTTGAAATCAAACACACCGTTCCACTTTAAAAAAAATCATCACATAAATGATTCAATGAGGCCCATTTGCTAGACGATGGCTTTTAAGGTCATGAGGGAATCAACCAGCCTATGATCACAAAGCCTAAAAACAAGAGAGCAACGAATGTTGGCATTTGACAAATGAGCCTGGTGGGAGGGGAGGGAGGTAAATCAGGGCTGTGCTGCCTTTTCTAGTATTCCCCAAGCCTAAAAGGCCAGGAGGAAACAGTAGCCCAGCAATCAGTAGTTGTATACCTAATAAATGAGGAATCGGACAAATTCTTAATCAACTGCATTGAGTTGAATTAATTAGTCTAAGAAACACATTCACGGTGATTGAGCACAGCACTGCTATCATAATGAATATTAATTACGGTAACCTTCGGAGGGTGATTAGGAATGTGCCCTGAAGGAGCCCCGACAAGGCACCATACAATAGCACAGCACTGGCTCGCTGCAAACAAAAGAATTCCACTGATGAACCAATTTCAAAGGAATGTCATTATGGAAAAGGACAAATCTATATGCACAGCCGTGTCACCCAAGTCAAATATATGAAATGGATCTCTAACTAACGTTATTCCACTTTTGTTTTCCTTAAGGTGGATGGCTTTCAAAAATAATACACCAAGAATAACCTAAAACACATGAGACAGAAGACCTTGGGCAGAAGGACGGCACTCAAATAAAAGTCAGAAATGGGAATTGTAAAATTAGGGATAGTGCTTAAACACCATTAAATATTACTCATTGTAATTGTGATTAACAAGCTAATGTTATGTTTTTAGTCAATTTTACAACTTGCATAAACTCATAGACCTGTTAGGTTAAGCCTGGCATCCCCCCTTTAAAAAATTCTGAAATGCTCTGCGTTTTATTTTAGATTTGGAAACAAGATACGGAACACACTGAACATTTAAAACACTCGGAGGAAGCAGTGGGAGGCCAGAGTACACACTGCTACTGCACACAATCCACTCTCAAACACCCAACGTGCCAAAATGTGTTTCTCATCCAGCAAGCCTAGGCTATAAATCAGATCTAGAGTGGTGTGCAAAAGTCAGAGACCACCCTTCATTTATTTTATTTCCAGTCAAAACGGCCAACAAGTTATTCATTTTTAAGAGATATTTCCAAAACTGGAGTTCAAAAAATCATTAAAAGCTACAGACAAAATGGGACTCCTAACAACCAAGCTAGACCTGGTAGACCACCAAAACTATCCCCATAGACAAACAGCACTTAGAGCTTTTATCTTTGGAAAAAAAAGGAGAAAATCAAGCTGCTTCAGATCTAAAAAAATCCACAGGTGATTCTGTCCATCCCTCCACTGTGAGAAGACGACTCAGCGCTATGGGTCTGAAAGGATGTGAAGTTGTCAAGAAGCTCTTACTGAGAAAAGGAAATACGCAAACAAGAAGTTGCTGATGTTCTCAGAACAACGGACTGACCACCCCAGACCTCAACATCACTGAATGTGTTTGGGATTATTTGGATCATGAGAAGCAGAAAATGCAACCAACTTCTAAGACTGTGAAAAATATCCCTGCAGATTTCTCAAGAAAAACTGAGAGTCTCCTGAAAAGAATAGAAGCTGTAATAAAGGTAAACAATGGACACATTAAATACTGAAAAAAAAAAAAAATTATATGTTTTCTTTTTTTTTTCTAACACTGGAAAATGAATAATATGTATTGGCCATTTGACTGGAAATCTAAGAAATTAAGGGTAGTTGCTAACTTGCATAGTACTGTATACTGCACAAAGCCTATTGGCACAATCATGCCGGTTAACAAGCTATTGTAAGCCTGATGAAAGTCATAAGACTGGTCACTCTAATTCATAATTGAGTGTATAGTGTCCCAAAACCTTTGTAATGTGATCTTCTAGTTTACCACAAACTATACGTGGTCCAATAGAGCTATTGGGAACGTACGGGTGCAGCTCCATACTTAAAGCTGTTGAGAAATCTACTACAACAACAATAACCACAACGAGTACTGAAATGACTGTAAAAACCTCCCCAAATGCTCATGCAACCTGGATTGTAAAGGTTTCACAACCCTAAGCTGATCAGTTTAAACACTTCTTAACAGCCAAACTTCACCCAAAGCCAAAAGGAACAACATTAAACTACTTAAAGCATATTAAAAGTTTCTTACACAGAAAAAAACCTGACTCAAATATGTACACTGGTTCCAAAATGACTAAAATATATTCTCTTCTGTTCACTCTCTTTTGGCAATATCTCTGTTGGAGTGATATATTTTATTACCATGAAACAGATGTACACATTTAAATCAGTAACACTTTATTTGAATAGCCCACTGTAGACACTTCACCTTACATTCAGCTAAATATCTATTAAATTGACCATCATTTTCATTAAACCTAACCCTAACCTTAACCCTCAAAGCAAAACCTAAACCAAACTCTATCCCTGCTCCTAATCCGAACACTGTTGACAATGAGCTGAGATGCACCAGATAGTTTGTTAATGGCTTGAACATCTATGGACAATCTATTTAGGGCTGTCCAAATAAAGAGAGACCTGTAAAGCAAGTAGATTCAAAGCATAAAAGTAACAATAAACCGCACATCAAGACACAATCCACAATGAAACAGAGCATCCAGAAGCCTCCAGCCTCCAATCTGCAGCCCAGTGACGAGGCCACCTAGTCCACCTACTGACCAACACACCACAACAACCCTCTCACAGCAGACAATCAGCAAAACTCCACGTATTTCAATCAAAGAACAGCAGGTTCATCATCATGAGCAAAACACACGTCTGCAAACTAAAGAGAAACTTACAGTCATCTGCTGTTGGAGTAAGGCGCGCGTGCGCACACAGCTGGTCTTCCAAACAGTGGACAGTACCAGAACAACGAGAGCCTTGTGTTTCCTCAAAGAGAAAAGCGGCACACCCACGAAAAAGAGAAGATGCTGGGTCAATATCCACTTAAATGATATCCATCTCCACGTCCAGGTCTCGGCGTGTTGTTAGAAACACTCCAGATGCGCGGTGTGTGCGTGCGTGTGTCTCCAGATGCGTTCAGCACGAGCCAAAAAAGCGCTGCACAAGTTTCCCAAAGAGAAGTCTGTGAGTGTAAGCAAAGCAACGTCCAGGTTCGGTGAGGAGCAGCTGCAGCATCCAACTCTGCACTCCGGACTTCAAGCGAGTGAAACAAGACGCAAAGCCCCGCCCACCCTCATTTGCATAATTTATTCACCACGTGGAGGAGCGGAGTGGCGGTCCCCTAGCTCCGCTGACAGGGGGCGCCAGATAGGACGAAAGCAAAAGCGAGTCTGCTTTCATTTTTGAGCAGACTTTGGTGCCACCCATCTGCTTTAGAGGGAAACGATGTTTTCTGCTTTTTCTTTTTCTTCTACACTCCTCTCTCAAGCTTTTGTCATGATCTGTAATGAGCTTCATGATTCCCAACCCCTGCATGAACTCCTAACCCCCTTTTTGAAGCTGGAATCCTGGCTTATACTCAGGCTGGACGTCTTCCTCACCATGTTCTAGTATCGAATGTTCTGTATGTGTCCCACACAGTCAGTGGATCCTCCAGACTTTCGAGAGATCTTTTAACTCGCTGGATCTTTCCTGTAGCTTTCCAGTCAGTCAATGGGATAACAGACTAGCATTTAACCTGCAGGAGAGTGGATTAATCAGTAGGACAGCAGCCTTTTCCAGCACTGAGTGAGGAGGATCACATAGGCCCAATCCCATTTCACCCCTCGCTCCTACCACTTAGCCCTACCCCTCTGTTCTGAGCGTTCAGGGGGTAGGGTGTTCCGATTTTTGTTGAGATAGAGGGGTAGGGTGAAGTGTTAGGCCTACATGGCCCTCCAAATGGAGTGTTATGAGGAAAAAAAGGCAAGATGGCTGCAAAAAAAAACAAAAAAAAAAAACATCACAAATGGGAGTATTTTCTCCGTTAAAAAAATACGGTAACCATTATATTATCTTAGTTTATTGTCATTTCAATGTATTTTGGTCCTTTTCTTTATAACAAGCATAAAAATCGCTAGTATTATGTTCATGTCTCAGTAGCTAACTAGCTAAATTTCCCATTCCACCTTAAATAGTCCAGCAGTTACATTCTGGCACCTCACACATCATAACTGCAGCACCATTTAAGGTGGAACAGGAAAATTCAAACAAGAAGCTGGCGAATAGCTGACTTCAGCTTCATATCACTGAAGAATTAGGGGTGGGTGATAATAAATAATGCTGCTATCACTGCAGACTGGCAGGGTCGCCTACAGAGCAGCGCTAGTAGCCTGTTAATGAAGTAATGTTCTTTATTTGAGGGTCCCATTTCATAGGGGAGGATTTCAACCACTACCCCTTGTAACTCAGTTCCAAGGGGCAAGGTCATACTCGAAAAACAAGGGGTAGTGGTAAAAATAAGAAATGAGATTTGGCCCTGGTTTCTTTCAGTGGTTCTTCCTCAAGCTCTTTCATTTTAAATCTTGGTTCCTCTCACTGTTTCTTTTTCATGTCCTTAAGCAGTTTTTCTTTTGAGTCTTGGTTCCTTTCAGTGTTTCTACTTCATGCTCTTAGAGTCCTGCTTCCTCTCTGCAGTGCTTCCTCATGCTCTTAGAGAGCTTTTCCTTTTGAGTCTTGGTTCCTCACAATGGTTCTTCCTCATGTTCTTAGACAGCTTTTCCTTTTGAGTCTTGGTTCCTCACAATGGTTCTTCCTCATGTTCTTAGACAGCTTTTCCGTTTGAGTCTTGGTTCCTCACAGTGGTTCTTCTTCATGCTCTTAGAGAGCTTTTCTTTTAGAGTCTTTGTTCCTCACAGTGGTTCTTCCTCATGTTCTTAGAGAGCTTTTCCTTTTGAGTCTTGGTTCCTCACAGTGGTTCTTCCCCATGTTCTTAGAGAGCTTTTCTTTTAGAGCCTTGGTTCTTCACAGTGGTTCTTCCTCATGTTCTTAGAGAGCTTTTCCTTTTGAGTCTTGGTTCCTCACAGTGGTTCTTCCCCATGTTCTTAGAGAGCTTTTCTTTTAGAGCCTTGGTTCTTCACAGTGGTGTTTCCTCATGTTCTTAGACAGCTTTTCCTTTTGAGTCTTGGTTCCTCACAGTGCTTCTTCCTCGTGTTCTTAGAGAGCTTTTCTTTTAGAGTTATGGTTCCTCACAGTGGTTCTTCTTCATGCTCTTAGAGAGGTTTGCTTCTACAGTTTTGGTCCCCACAGTTGTTCCTCATGCTCTTAGAGACCTTTTCCTTTAGAGTCTTGGTCCCTCAAGTGGTGCTTCCTCATGCTTGTATAGAGCTTTTATTTTAGAGTCTTGGTTCCTCACAGTGGTTCTTCCTCATGGTCTTAGAGAGCTTTTATTTTAGAGTTATGGTTCCTCACAGTGGTTCTTCTTCATGCTCTTAGAGAGGTTTGCTTCTACAGTTTTGGTCCCCACAGTTGTTCCTCATGCTCTTAGAGACCTTTTCCTTTTGAGTCTTGGTTCCTCAAAGTGGTTCTTCCTCATGCTCTTAGAGAGCTTTTCTTTTAGAGCTATGGTTCCTCATAGTGGTTCTTCCTCATGTTCTTAGACAGCTTTTCCTTTTGAGTCTTGGTTCCTCACAGTGGTGCTTCCTCATGCTTGTATAGAGCTTTTATTTTAGAGTCTTGGTTCCTCAAAGTGGTTCTTCCTCATGTTCTTAGAGAGCTTTTCTTTTAGAGCTATGGTTCCTCACAGTGCTTCTTCCTCACAGTGGTTCTTCCTCATGTTCTTAGACAGCTTTTCTTTAGAGTCTTAGTGTCTTCACAGTGGTTCTTCCTTGTGCTCTTAGATAGTTTTGGGGGTTTTTGTTGTTGTTGTTGTTGTTTTTAGTCTTGCTACCTCTCACAGTGCTTCCTCCTCATGCTCCTAGAGAGCTTTTCTTTTAGTCTCGGTTCTTCTCTGTATTTCTCCCTCATACTCAAAATTGCCCTGAACTGAACCAAAGTTATAATATGCGCACTAAATTCTATATCTATAGGATAAACACATGTGCCCAAGTGACTGATGGATTGTTAGATGCAGTGTGGTCCAAAAGTCTGGATCATTTAGGAGGTGCTTTTAAGTTATTTGTCAAAAACTAATATGGGGCTAGACCTCGACAAACGCTAATCCTAGGCTAAAAAAGAATTTCCAGTGGTGATTCACCATTGGCACTGTTATTTACTCCAAAACTAGTCTTTATCCATGTCTGGGAAGCCAGCCCATAAGTTTTACTCAGTGGATAGGTATTCTTCAAAACACAGTATCTAAAGCAGGGACAAATCAATTTTTTCAGAAAATGCTCACCAGATCCCAGCCTCTTCATGGCAGAAACAAAAAGATAGATGAGGGAATGATGTAGACTGGCAAATTCTCCAGAACTGACGCCAGACAGGGTTAGAGCTTTAACAGTATATCAGCCAAATGCTAAGACATTTTGACTTCCAGGAAATAAACTCTTAGTATATGATCCTGTTTGAGAAATGTAATTTGACAACAGTGTTTAATATATTTTGATAAATGATGAAAATGAAACGGTTATTGATGGTAAAATCAGACTATTGTCTGTCTACTTTATACAACCTACCTCTTGAAATATTTCTTGCATTAAATATCAATATAACAAAAGACCAGAGACAAAATGGGCCTTGAAATGAAGAGAAGTGATTCACTTCATCCTGAATTTATTACACAAAAAATCTGAATAAAAATGCTTAGATATAATTGTGGAGGAAATGAGCCAGAATGCACAAGAACCGTGTTCCAGAAACAGAAGTCGAGACTGAGCAGTGTTCCAGCTCAGATATTGAAAACCTAGGTAACTGTTTTTATAGGGAAACCAGGTATAGTTGTTCAAACGTGTGTCCATAAAGCGAAGTGTCTGCTGAACCACCTTAAGTTTAACCTCCAGCTCATTCAGTCAGTGGAATGGTAATGACTGTCAGTGTGCCAAGAAACGTGGAAAGTGGTGTTTCACTTTCTAATTTCCTCAAACTTTGGAGGCTTCAGTTTGGACAGTTTGGCAGTCTACTCAATGTAATTATTATTATTTGATGGTTTGTGTTTATTGCTGAAAATTTCAGGGGGCTTAGTTTAAAATGTTCACTATAACTGAGCATTTTAGTTAAAGACTGATACCTGGCTAGCTAGCCTGCTAATGTCAGCCATTCACTGTGAGCTAGTTACCTAAATAATAATAATAATAATAATAATAATAATAATATAATTATTATTATTATTATTAATATTATTATTATTATTATTATTATTATGTTTATTTATATAGCACCTTTCATACATTTCAAACGCAGCTCAAAGTGCTTCAAAATACAAAGTAAAAACAGAGGAAGAAGAGAAAAAAGATAAATCAAAAATAAAATAAGCAAATAATAATTAGCAGAAAAGGGCATACATTAATAACTACAATTAAAAAGCACAAGATAAAAGTATAAATAAAAATACAATAAAAATGCAATTAACAAGAAAGTAAAAGTAACAGTAATTCCAGTGAAAACAAAGAAAAAAATAAAATATAATTATATAATATAATAATTATTCCTTTTCTTCATTAAGTTTTAGAAATGTTGCTATTCATCCAGTTCACAATGCTGGACAGACATATAACAAGTTTGTCTACTAAAGTGACATCATCTGGGGCTACAGATGTATACTGTTGTGCATCATCTGCATAACTATAAAACTGATGCCATGCTTCTTAATAAGCTGACAGAGTGGCAGCATAGACAAAGAAAACAGAAGTGGACCAATTACAGAGCCTTGAGGTACACCACAGAGAATATCACGCTTATCTGAGATATGTTCACCTATGGTTACAAAATAGTCTTCCAGTTAAATATGTATGTATCTAATGTAAATGTATCTGGACACTGGAAATTTTTAACAGTCTAGATCACATATTGAAAGAGGTAGTTTAGTACTTCTGAAGTGATTGTTTAGACAAGCGTTTAATGATTTGCTTTATAGTTTCTACCTTGTTGGCAACAAAAATGTTTTTATATGGTGTTATATCTCTTAGCTCATGAACAAATTCAGTGATTTTTTTAAACCTTCAATGAAAGCTTTTGTTCTAATTTCTTGACTGTTGTTAATAAATGTTCTGACCCTAGAAATAGAATCCTTGTATTTATGGAAAATAATATTAAACAGGTTC